GCACTCTGAGTGGCTGGCAGCGGATCAAAAGCAAACGAGGTTCCTGAGCTCATTCCAATTATAACAGCACACACTATCAACTACAAATACAAACAGCACGTAAGTGATAGCGCTGGTGGCCTGGAGGACTGCTGCCAGAGAGCAGGCAGCATGCTAATCAGGATACCTCTTGCCATGGGCTATTTAGGGAATAGCCTCTTATCCCACCAATTCCCCATGCCTTAGCCATGGAAACGAAAGAGAAAAAGGGGAGTGAATTCCCTGAGTGCACAATCCAAGGACAAAATATTAGAAAATGGATCTTTATCTTTGCTCTCGGCCAATATCCATATTAATTACAAAAAAAACAACATTGCATATGAACTGAATAAAATATAAAGAGATTTGTCAAACACATACAGGAACAAATTATGACCACCCTGTATAATTGCCTTTTCTGATGATGCTAATTTAATCATCAAACAAAGTAAAGTTATGCTGAAAAAAAGATTCATAAAGAATTAAATTTTCCTCATACTTCAAACAAGTCTCACAGAGGCTTTTGTTTGACTTCACTAAGCTGGCATCACACACTCTACCCTATGGTTTAACCTTTGCAAAAAGCAGGATGTGTATAAACAAGATCCTCAGTCATTTGCACATCACTTCACACTGTTTATTGCAATTAGTCTGATTATTCATAACAACATCTTCCCAAGCATCCCATTGTAGTTGGCCAATCCAGGAAAGTGATTTATATCCGGTCGACTGTCATGGGGGAAGGAAGTGAGATGGTTGGAGTGGTTCTGTGGTAACATGCACGCTCCCCCACTTGCACGGACAACCCCTCAGAGTTTGGCAACTCTCCAGAGCCATGCAGGGGCGGCGGAGTACAGCGGGAGCCTGAGTGAGAAGCACACATTGTGCACCACGGGACCCCACCAGCCCCGGCCCGAAGGCACAACTCTCAAGGACATGGAGAACTGGGGCAGAGAACTTCCAGGCTTCCCACTGGTAGGGCAGGCTGAGAAAAAAAGAGGGAAAGTTTCCAAAGTGTCTCTGTCTGTGTGAGCGTAGCTGGTGAAATGTGTTGTTAGGAGAGATACATGGATTCTCTTGATCAGTAAACACTAATCATGCAATTGTTTCTTAAGCGTAAAACAGCTCTCTAGTATCCTGCAAGTGTGTGACATTTAAATGTGGAATAGAGGTGACATGAAAATTATACCTGAGTCATTCTGTGACAAAAGAAAAATTGGAGGGGTCAGACTGGGGTCACGAGTCATAAAGGTGTGTTGTTATGATGAAAAGGGACACCAATCAATAAAGTTTTTACTAAAACTACTGTCTGTGCACGTAGATGCACATAACTGTGTTTGTGTTTCTATCTCAGTGTATTTTCTGATACCCTCTGATCTCCTAGTCAAATATAATTACTGACTTGTATGACACCCCAGCAAGTGATACATTTGAATCAATGGCTCAAATAGCCTCATGGTGCCATGAATGTGGCGTGGCGTGTAATTCTAGGTTTTGCAGATAAATAAAAATGTAATCTGAAAATGGAAATCACAGCTTACTGTTGTACTAAATCCAAGGGTTCTGTTGAAAATCTACAATTTGAATAATATGGATATTTCTTTTAAATATGATAGAAAATGATTTATATTCTAGTTTTGGATATAGAATTGTACAAAAGAGGCAATGTCTTTGACACTGCTTGAACAAGCATTGGAAGCAGCAGCCCTTTCCCTCATTGTCCTTCCAGTCAGGAGCTCAGGTTTACTGTGGGTCAGCCCCCTCTCTCTCTACATCAGGGGGAAGGAACCACACTGATCTGAGATGGAGTACCCCCAACCAAACCTTACCACATCGACCCATGCTACCATCCTGGGCCTCTAATGGAAGTCCTGGGCATCCAGACGCCTCCCCCGCTCCGACATGGACGTCAAGTAGCGCTCTACTCATCATTGGAAGCAGCAGGCCTCACAGCCCTCCTTTTCTCTCCCTGGGACTGGCTTTTTGGGAACATTGCAGGCAGATGTGTCCAGATGAGCACGTTCTAATTTGTGGGCCCAGGTTAATGCTCCGCCAGAGGCCCCGGAGGATCAATAGCTTTATTTCCCTAAAACGCTGGCGTGGTGAGAACCAGCTCACGGGGTGCTTTTAATACCGCCACAGTTCCAGTGATGACTGGGCTGTATTGATTGTGCCCATGTGGAACTACGTGCGCCTTCTGGGGAAGGATCTATTTGTGTCACCCTGGGCTGGGATGGGGGCTCCACTGGAGGAGTAGAGAGCTCAGCCAATGGAGGATGCCAAAAACATCAAAACAGCCATGTTTACAGATTACCCAAAGGGAAAGCAAATTACAGCAATTATGCAGGCTGTGGGAATACTGATATCAGCATACCTGCTATTTCACCCAGAGACTACTTTTATGAGACTAGAACACATACAAAACAGCACACTCAATTTGATTTGATGGCTAAACCCTCAACAAACGATGGGATTTAAACAAAGCACTGCACATCAGATGCATGCAAAACAATGTCTTTCTAGGGGATCACCCTGTTTGTGTATGTCAGGTCCAAAAACTCTTTTCAGTTGTTTTGAAACTAGATATAATAGCTTACGCAAATATCTGTGAGGCAAGTATGTATCTGGCAGGCATAGTGATGAACATGTAATATTGAACATTGTCTCTACCAGAGGTTTTTTTTTTTTAACCAAACAATGGCAATTAATCATTCTTTGTAAACACTGCAAATTGCTTTACAGAAAACTAATTTACCCTTGCAGCATTTATCTCATATATCAGTGGAGAGACAACATACAGAGAAGCCTTATCCAAATCACGGGCCTTTGTTTGCAGCTGTCGTGACATATTCATGACTGGGGCCATAATAGTCAGATTCCTGTTATATCCCCCAGGGAGAGCAGAGAGAATGGTGTCACATCCAATTACTGCGGCACACTGTAGAGGTAAATCAAAACTCGTGCCGTGAACTCTGGAATCTAAGGTGCACACATACACATACGCACACTGCATGAGCGAAGCGAGACAACAGTTATATAGACATTGATAGAATATTGGAAAACACATTCTCCTGGTAACTTGGAGGTCATGTATGGATTACGCAGGGAAATGGGATTGGCTGGAGGCTGTTGGCTGCCGTCTTCTCAAAACATAAATTGACATACATATGATCTAGGAGCAAGTGAGGCAGACAGCACTTGCTCAAGATTTTACAATTATGGATTTGTTCGCCTGTGTGCAGAAATTGAAATTGCAGATGAGGACAGTGATGTGCCCCTTATTGGAGGAATAACAATCGGGTCACCAAGTTCACCCACACCTTCTACTCAGCACCAGTAAGATGCGTTGCTGCGGAGTGAAATTAATGCCTTTGTCTTCTCCTCCACAGCAGTACTTTGGGAGGCCTGGTGGTTTGGTGGTTGGAGGGTATCTCAGCAGTGCATAGCCCAGTTTCACCCTGGAGCGGTGCAAAGCTCCTGCCCAATATAACAGGCTGCATCCCCAGGGCCCCTCCCTCAAGCCTCCAGTCAGCGCTTGTTTTTGCACCATTTATTTAGTGTGACACATCTCCAATTAAACTGTGGAGGCTGCTGCATTCCCCCCATAACTACCTCTTATACCTCCCCATAGACTTTCTGTCACACTGAGAGTGTGGGTATGAGAGAGTGAAAGGGAGAGTTAGTGGGAGAGAGAGAGAGTTAGTGGAAGAGAGAGAGAGAGAGAGAGAGAGAGAGAGAGAGAGAGAGAGAGAGAGAGAGATCACATCTTGCCTGCCAGCTATGATCACAATGTCATTTTCCCCTCAGTGGTTAGGAGCCTCTTCTGAAAGGTGCCCTGAATTATAATTATCAAAATATTGAACAAGATAATCATCCTCTTAAATGATGCTGCCACTTTACTATGTGCCTTACTGTCATAGAACATGCATGGAGTAATGCTCTCCTGTAAGCTTTCTTAATAACTCATTTAGAACTACACAGTGAAAGACATGTTCTGTGCAAGAGTGCACTTTGTAATATTGAGTTACTTGAGTTGGCCATTAATAAACTACCACAGTAATTCGTACTCAACCAGAATTCCTCCACTGCTTCACTTTATGTGCCCATCAATTTAAATTCATGAACGTTTAAAGGAGATCTTTCATAGGAGGTAAGAGTCTCCTTGCCACCTCTTCATCCTCCCCCAACGGCCCCAGACACAGTCACAGGAGGAGTGACTTTGACCGACCCCAATACCGTCTGCGAGAGCGCAGCTGAGGGCAGCAGCTGCCAGGGAGGACTGGTGGGGGAGCGCCCAAAACGCCAGCTCTGCCAAGCGGAGGGGCCGGGGGGAGCCCCAGTGGCAGCTGGGAAGGGTGGGGCGGCCAGCTGTGGAGCAGCAGGATGGTGGGGTGACTAGGAGATGCCACTAAACCTGAGCAGCCAGGGATACACAAGTGCACATACAAATTTTATACATAGGCACACTCAAAAAGTTCACACTTCCCTCTTTTCTTAAAGCACTTCTGCGGTACTCACCGACATGTACACACACAAACTCATCATCAGCACCAGGGCAGTCTGTGGCCCTCTTAACACCAACACCACTCTCCCATCATGTGCTTCGGCCACACATCTGGTGTACCATCTGTATCACTCCCCCCAATGTGACAGGTAGTCCCTCTCCCTCTCTGGAGGGAGCAGAAGGGGAAAGAGAGACACGGAAGGTAATTTTGGGTGTAAATGTGCTCTGGACCTCTCTGGATGCATCTGGACAAAGCAGACATGCTGCTGAGTGGTGCAGGGTCATTATCAGTTGGAAACTGATTACCAGATAGCAGATGAAGACAAAACAATTATATCATACTGTCACATTATGACAGCGCCAATCGTGCACATCTTGTTTATGTTGTCGCCAGGATGAACAATTTTGGACTTTTGTCTTAATTAACAGCATGTCAATAAAAAGGTCAAATGCTATAAATAACACAAGTCAAAATATATTAAAGATTCTTCCAATTTATTGTAATTTACAGTTATACATTGCCATGACACAAATGTGACCACTTGGATGGGGGTGCAGAATGCAAAATATTAAAACAGCCATATAAACAATATCCGAGGACAATGAATTCCTCTTCTTTATGCCGCTGTACATATGGGATCAATAAAGTATGCACCATAAAACGGATATCAAGCCAGTGATATAAAACTGCACAACCAGTCTTTACTGTGAAATTAAGGAATCCATTTCAGAACATTATTTTCACATCTTATGTTACATATTTGACAGTAACTTTATTATTCACACACACAACACTATTTGAATGACATCAACTTAGACGTTTATTCAAAGGGAAAAGGGAATTCCAGCATTGTCAAGACTAACAAAACAAAGTACTTGTCAGAAATACGTATTATACCAAGTCTGATCTTTCCCATTTACTAATTTGCAGTCAATGGACAAGACTGAGGTGCTTGTATAGAAGAAAAAAAAAAGGCTCTAGAGAGCATTCACTTACAATTTGCAGTGGCATCTGCTACATATCACCTCTTTGGGCACAAATGTCAAAGGCCAATGAGCATTATTATGTCAAGTAATGTGGTTAAAAAAAAACTTATTCATATCCAAATCTGATATATATTTTTCACTGACTTAAATACAAAGCTCAACACAGAATACAGCAATTGTTTCATGCGTTTTCAGACATTAAACATGATTTTCTAATTCCAGATATGCTGTTTGTATTTGTCCTTCAAGGAATTTCTGTGCATGCCAATTCATTTTCTATTTTTACACAAAAATTCATACAGAGTCCATGTCACTGAAGTAGCAGATCCAATTGAATAGTTATACAAGTCAACACAACAAAGAAATAAAAAACAAAATGCGCTGGATAGGATCATCATTAAAGATCATAAAAAAACATTGACACATACACTTCATGAAATAAACAACACAGCTTTAGTACTAGTTTCCAATGTCTCATACAAAGTTAGCTTGATCTAAAAAGCATAAAATATATTTTTACATCATCACATACATCAAGACATGTACCATGGCCTAGCGGGAAGTTCGTCTGGTGCATTATTTCAAGCCCCCACACATTTCCCTACTGCTGGCATTATTGCTTCTTATGAACAAGGAGCTGAGGGATAGAGAAACAATGCACCACAGTAGATTGAAACTGTACATTTAAATCATCTCTGATATCCAAAATTTTGTTAGCCTGTTTAACAATCTGCAATGCTAAAGGATAAGGCAGTTCCATTTTAAGGCATTGCTGCTTTGAGACATACTGGACCAGAGGGTGAGTCATGGACTTTGACATTATCAAGTCAATGTACATGATAAACAGAATACATTTTATAGGCGAGGATAAGAGCCCAAACAGAGGGGGGGGATCTTGTATTTTTGAGTGTTGTATGTTCATGTCTGAGAGAATCTCAGCGTGCTACAACCATCATTTAAGTCTGCTTAGCAGTTGACCAGAGGTCAAAGCTCAGACAGAGAACAGAGCAGAGCTGTGTGGGTTGCTGTGACCATCTCTCATTGCTGGTAATTTCCATACTGGCCCTGTGGAGAGAAATGTGACAGACTCGTGTTACTGACCTTCTCAAAAACAGAGTAAAAGCTTATATTCACAAATCTCAATAGGGTGCAAACAAACATATGTGGTTTCAACCATATCATACTGCAAACCATGATTTATGGCTGCATTTGCTGGTTTTGACCAGCAGGTGGCAGCATGGCCTCACAACTTGTGAGCTGTACATTCTAACTTGATACCTCAGGTTTCAGCAGCAGCATGGCTGAGGACGATATTCCTTATTAAAACAGTGGACACTAGTTTCATGTGAGACAAATTCAGTGCAAGAACAGTAGTAGTTGATGCATTTCTAAACAGGGGTCGAAGTATGTGTTTGACATTAATGGAAAATACAATAGAAGCAAATTTGGAAACAAACTATGATTTCGCAGTCTGATGTACATAACATTTTAATTCAAATATCAGTGTTTTCATAAGCACAATAGTCATCGTTGTAAATTGCAGAGATTAAGGACACAGCCAAAGCACTAAGCTTTTGGCTGTCTCGCTGCAGGATAAGCATGCTGTGTTTCTGGACCTCATGACTTACAATTCGACCCCTGGTTAATAACAAAATCATAATAAAAAAATAAAGTACCAAAAAAATAAAAAATAAAAAAAATAAATAAAAAGGAAAAAGCTTAAGAAAGAAAAAGAGAAAGATGGAAGAAAGATAAAGACAAAAAGAGAGACAGAAGAAACATAACAAATGCAAATTAAGGCTAGGTGGTCAAACGTCTAGATTGAACGTTGAGGTCTTCACAGCAACCATTACCTTTGCTTCTTACAGAGCTAGTCAGGGGTTCAAATCCCCGGGTCTTTATTTCCTCATGTGCCCCTGAATATTCAAAGATAAAGATATCAAAGTGTAGCTGTGGTCCCCACATAAGACCACAGGAAATACAGGGCAACAAATAGATCTCCCTTTAAACACTAGAGCAGTCTGCATCAAGTTTAAGGAAGAATCCTCTTAAAGCCCTCATATTTCACTGAACTGGCAAACCATATTAGCCAGGATATATAGCTAAGACTCAGATTAACAAGTGAAAGACAATAGTAACACATACACTCTTTTGGGTAGAACAGATTTAACCCCCAATATGATGACAGCATGCATAACATACTACCTTTTAATTTTTACGTTCTAACTTCACTCACATTGGTCTCGCTACACAAGAAATTTACATTTAAGTCTGGCAATAAACATAATAAGAGACAAACTAAGACGAATGTATAACCAAGTCTCTGTGACTGTCCTATGTTGTGGGTATACTCACCTGGTCATAGCCGTAGGGGCGTTGCTGTTGGCCCTGTGGGGGTCCAGGTTGAGGAGGGCGATAGGCCCCATACTGCTGTCCCTGCCCCTGAGGATAGTTAGGATACTGTCCTGGGGCACTCTGGGAGGGACCTACGAAAACAAATTGAGAACTCGATTTAAAATTCTGTATACTTGACAGAGTGAACTTAAAAATGCTGTTGGCTACCGTCAACACAAACTCTTCTAACCTTTCATTATTAGCATGTGTTGTTTCTGGCACCACATGGGCATGGTTTGTCAGCCAAAAAACAAAACAAATACCATACCATAACTGACTCAAATGATTGCAAGACAATTTAAAATGCAACATTAATGTCATTAAAAAAAACAGGAGATATGAAGTACCTCATTGGTGTATAAGCAGTGAGTAAAATTCAAGCACAACTTGATGACACACAGTTAAAAGATTGCATATTTTTGGGTTTTAAAATTTTCTTAAGAAGAGCAGAAATGGAACTCAGGTTTGGACTCAGAACAAAGGAACCCAGTGTGTAAACTGCCCTAAGTTTTGCTCATTAACTGTTCCCGTTTCCTACTTGTTACTCTGAGAACTCTAGGGAATCCCTGTTAGTTTACTATCACTAATGGCCTGCAATAAAAAAGCTGATGGATGACAAAAAGAGGATGGTGGATATGTCAGACCCATTTGTTTAGGCTGCCTCCAGAATGCCTGACTCAGTCATGAATGAGAATGAGTGAGTCAGGTTGGAGCCGGGCAGTGGTTCGCTAATGCAAGGAGACATCAAGGATTCTGTTGGTCTTCATTAGAGGAGCAGGATTCATTAAAAAAAAGGAAGGAAAAAATAAAAATAAAAAATCACTTCATCAGCCCCCGCACACTGTAGCTTTCTATGCAGGTGCTGTGAAAGACCAAGCAAAGCTTGACAGGGGCTGGAGTCAAATGAGGCCCACGCAGCATCGTTAGGCGCTCATAATACCTTATGCTGTTGAGCATAACCTTGTGGGGGCTTGTGAAAGAAAGCGCGCGTGTGTGTGTGTGTGCCAGATGGATCTCACCTCACAGCCTCTGCCTCTCAGTTAGCTCATTACTAACATGAGCTTTGGTTCAGACAGAGGGTGAGTGATGGAAAGTTTCACTGAAAAATAGGATGAGGAAGAAAAAGTCCAAAGAGATTAAATACTTACATTGCATTACTTTTTTTCTGTTTGGTTAAATAGTTAAATCCCAAAGCCATGCGCTCATTGCGAATACCATTAAGTTAGAAAATATAAGTATCGGAAAGGTATGACTAATTAAGTGTTTTAACTTAAGTCTCTTAGACTGTTTTCAATTTGTTTTTTATTTGTAGATTAACTTTCCTTTTCTGTCATGAGGTCCAAATCGGAAAACATCTGCTGAGTGTCTTGAAATGTTTCAGCAAAGATCAAATCTTAGGCCATTTCAGGAAAAACATTACTATCTTCTACACCTAGTTTTTATTATGCATATCTGCCAATTTTTGGATATTTACAATATTGAGTTCAAAATGTTTGGCTGGCAGTCTACACACACTTTGCCCAATGTCTGTACCCATCAGCCAAAGCTCCTCTCCCACTCCCTCAGAACAGTGTGTCATATCAAACTGAAGCGACGGGAGAAATGCTAATGTGGTGCCAGCCACCACTACTGATTAAATTTCTCTTCCACCAAGCTCCAATCCCCCAACCATTCATTAAGGTGGTCCTTTAATTCCTTGCTCTTGATGATGTCTTGACATGCATTTGGCACAGTTACATTTCCAAGGGGCAGTAACCACTAACTCATTCAGGAAGAATTATTCAACACTTAAAAAAAGGCAGCCAACAAGAGCCGATACTGCCTCCTAAAGGACAAATGTGTGTCCATATTCGAGAGAAAGTAACTCACCGTAGCCCTGCTGCTGAGGTGGGTAGCCCTGTTGACCTGGGTACTGCTGTTGAGGAGGGTAGCCCTGTTGCTGGGGAGGGCCTTGCTGGTATGCTTCCTGCTGTTGGCCATACTGGGCATTACCTTAAGGGGGCAACAGCAAGAAATGTGAGCAATATGTTAAGACTACAGTGGAACTGCAAACAGGCAGTTAGACAATGAATAAGGATTGTTTCTATGGTATTACTTAAGCAATTAGTTCTCCATTCGGATGGTGCTGTTAAGATGTACCTGTAAGTACAGCACATGGACTGGCGCATACAGCCATTAAAAATTACATCAGCATTGTGAAATAAGATACTGTTAGCAAATGTGAAGTGTATTATTAGGTAGATAAAATACAAAGTAAATGATACAACCTGTAGCAATGATGACATACAAGTAAAAGTAAAGAAAGCATGAAGTACCAAGTCATGTATAAATGTTGGATAAGATAGAGCTTTTTTTTGTACTACTCTATACTTTCTGAACACAAATGGTAGCTTAAAAGAATCTGAACCCATGTCAACATTGTCATGAGCACACATATTAGAGGAGGGTATCCATGAGAGTGGTGAGAGAAATTCACATATATTTAGGAAATACCAGATAGGATGAAATTGATCATCTTATTCAAGAGTTCAGGGATGCAAAAAATAGTCTTGATGGCAGCAGTTTTTGAGCCAACCATATTTTAAAAGTTTGTGTGTGTGTGTGTGTGTGTGTGTATGTGTATGTGTGGGGTGGGGGTCATTCTTCAAAAGGGCGGGATTTTCTCTACTTGAAAAAGGGAAAAACTTGTATTTGAAAGGTCAAAAGGAAAATAGTGTAGTCAGTAGAGGAAACAAAAACAAACAACAAATAAGTAAATGTTAATTGGACAAAGAAAGAGAAGGAGTTGTTTGTTATGAATCTGTACTCTTTTATGCGGCTACAAATGTAATAATACCACCGTTTAACACGCCAACATGGAGAAAATCAGCTTAATATCAAGTGTTATATTTTGAGGATAATGTAGTGGTAGCATATTTTTTTAAAATAGTTTGTGGTCTGTTACCGTCTGTGCACAACATATCTATATTTACACAGAATGTGTCTGACGTGGCATTTTTTCAATTGAAAATCCTATGGATGATTGTTATTTGACTGTAATACAACTTTGGTACAGCTTTGGCCATTAAGACTCACGCAAGACTCTCTCCCTGACTTTTCTCTTCTTTCACACCAACAGGTGGCGCTCCAGCCACAACTGAGGGGATAGCATTACAAGACTGGGTAGGTGCTAACTTATCCATGGACTGCAGCACCATTTGGAATTGGGTGCACTTTGGCACGTGGACGATTGCTCAAAATTAGATGCCTTTTTTTTTTTGTTAGAGCCCAAAGTCACTTTGATGTCCCAGAAAATAATGAAGAAACTGAAATTTTGGGTTTGTCGCAGTCTCTTTGCATCATTTGTGTTTTAACACAACTCCTGGGTTCATTTTTTGTTGTTTTTCTCCAAGTGACTGGAGGGTTATCCTACCTTCTGAGGCTCCCTGTCCTGCGTGACTGTACTGGTCCCCATAGTAGTCTTCCTGCCCTGGGTACTGCTGAGGGGGTCCTACATACACATACACACAACATACACACAAGTAGATTCAAGGTGTTGTTGGATCGGTTGTGTGAGGGGAAGAGTAGAGAGGATGGATTCCTTGCCGCTAGTTCTTGTTAGAAAGCTTTCTTTTGGTCACTTGACTAATTTTAATGATTGGAGGCTTTAGGTTACAAGTTTAGTCATCAAGATGTCTGTGATCTACAGAAGTGGAAATAGAGGAAATTGAGAGGAACAAGAGTAAGAAATACAGGAGGGTGGGTTAGGGAGAAGAAAGACCAACACTCACAACTTGCACACTTAACAAACACACTCTGAGGGGTATACCTTGCTGTGGGGGTCTGTAAGGGGGCATTGGCCTCTGCCCCATGACATGGTTCCCTTGGTTGACCTGGCCCATCATGCCCATTGGGTTCTGCTGTCCTTGGTAGTGCTGTCCAGCACCACCAGGAGGCATGTTATACTGCTGGGAGGGAGGCTGCTGGTGCATCATGGGGCCTGTGGTACACCGTAAAAGAGTTAACACTCAAACTGTGCTAGAAAACATGCAAGCAGCATGAGGCTTATCAAATGAAAGTGAAGCACCATGGAGACAGTAGACGAAGGAAATGAGTCGTTTTACCTTGATTGGGCTGCATGTTCATGTTTGGCCGAGGCCCATAGTTTCCCATGGGCTGGCCCTGGGTCATGTTCATTTGGCTCTGAGCTGGCATGCCCTGGGAAGAAGGGACGGTATGATTGTAACCACCCATCGAGCCATGGCTGCTGGGGGGCATATTCATAGAGCCACTGGGCATGTTTGGGGGCTGGTTGGGGCCTGGACCAGGACCTTGCATGGGCATGTGATTAGGACCTGAAAAATAACAGCAGAGATGATTCATGACTTTTTTTTAACTACATACATATTTAACACACATACTTCCATCATGTTGTGATATGAGCACTCTGAACAACCGTAGTCTGAGGCTGTGTTTCCATACAGCAGGAACGGCATGTGAAAAATCTAATTAAAATCACCTTGGTGATGTGAAAGAGGTTTGGGGTTAACCCAAACTTTAAGTAACTGTAATTAATCCACTGCACCTTTGTCTAACCAGTTATTTATATATGGTTCTTTTTTTCATTAATTCCTCTCTTGCAATATTTAAAGCTGATGTTTCTGCAAAGAGCAACTGAATCTCCAATTTTCAGTTGTCTTTTATCACCCATCATACGTCAACACTGTGTATAACACATTATTAATTAAGAATGCATAATTAACACCGCAACTGACTTCATTACAATTCAAATAACAATTAAAAGATTCAAGGCTTCAGTTATTTTATTGTAATCTACAACACAAGGTTGCAGAATGAAATTTCTAGATATAGTTCCCTTTAATGCTATTTTTAAAAAAAAACAGATCATCATAAGAATTAAAAACATTTTTTTCATTATTAATTTGTATGATGAATTGTTGAGGAATAATTGAATAGTTTCAGCCTGAAGGAGGAAGCTGTCTTTAGAGAGAACACTGAGGTTTCCACTGGTTAAATGAATGACAGGAAGTTACAAGAAAAAAGGAACTACCATTGGACAGCAACTCCTCCATTGAGCAGGAGCTGCAAAAGCTGGCCACAATCTCATAGATGATGCCGATTCTCTAGTCACCTAAATGACTAGACAGGGATCATAATGATGATACCCAGCTTACAACAGTAATACCATAATACTGTTGGTCAGAATGTATATTCCCTGTTGTGAGGTTTCAATGGAAATCCAGAAAACAGAACTGCCCAGCATAGTACAGCTTAAGTGAACACTACCATGCCAGTGGAAAAGTGACCCTACAGTGGCAATATTTTTTCTGGCATTCTAATGTCGTGCCTTTTTTGTTTTAGCATATAATCAAATATATACATTTGCAAAAAAAAAAAGCACATGCTGACACACTATGATGGATACGGATGTAACTAAAGTCAAATTATGACTGAAAAAGATTCCTTCACTTCCCAGAGAAAAATCTATAAAATATATTTCCCCTTATATTTTCTTCATCAATTTATAGAACCCTTTTTTTCCCCTGAGGTAGGGTATAAACTATGCCAAACCATGTATATTTCATCTTATTGATTTGAAACTTCACATATTTGCATTGTGATTTAACCGTCTCACAATACATCTTTACATTTCGAATGATAGGAGAGGATAATCATAAACAAACGAGTACAAGTCCAAGACCACCAGAGCTGACAAATGGGTGACATCATTCTTCAGCAGAGCGACCTCCCTCACAGTTCTGTGGTGTTGCTAGGCAACCCAACTGAGACAGAGACTGAGGGAAAAGAAGGGGAAAGAAAAAAGAGAGAAAGACAAGGGAGGGAAGTTGAGGGGAGGAGGGGGGGGTCACTTACCAGGCATCTGTCCATTCATCTGGTTCTGCATGTGTGGGGCTGGGGGGCCACCACTGACCATACCCTCAGAGGGCATGTTGTGACCGTGAGGAGGCTGAGGGGGGGGTCCACTTTGGTTCATCCCACCAGGGCCCATTGGCATGTTTTGAGTGGGTGGCTGCAGGCGCACAACACAGACACAAAAATACACATCAGCTGGCTACAAACACATCTGAGTCTGAGCCACTCAAAAAAAAAAAAAAAAAAAAAAAGGCAGATAAGATTTCTGTACAAAATATCACAATGAAGTATAAATGTGATGCACCTTAATCAATCAAGGATAAAACATTTTTTTTAAAGATAATGTATATTTAAAAAAGGGAAACAGCCATGCAGTACAATATTTAGTCATAATCACTGAATAAATTGTCCTCAAAGTCACAGCCGGGGACCATCAATGACTGAAAAAGGTGTTGTACAAAGTCGTAACAAATTGAACCGATACCACTATTGCTTAATTAATAGTAAGTTCAATCGGATCTACTGCAGATTTACATATAATATGATGGTGCGATACTTTTAAAGCAATGGGCTTACAAGCAAACACAATTATGTACCTTTGACAAACTTAAGTGCACAGAACACCTTCATACTGGTGATGCATTCATTAAGAAAATCTACAAAAGGTCACATAGTAACACTGATACTTTAACGGAGTACCCCCGTTCTACACTTCCCATAACCTTGGTGACATCACTGGGGTCATTTTTTCTTTGGAAAGCTCCCTTGAGAAACACACAAGACATTATACAACGTTTCCTCAGGCAGTAGTATAGCTTGTGACAAGTAAATTGATATTAATGTGCTAAAATAGTGGAGTTCCCTTTGATACAAGAGTGAGGTTTGCCTGGATTTGACACAAAAAGAGTCAAAATTAAGACATTTGCAATTAATCTGTTCAGATTCTATATAATATTCAGTGGAAGTAATTATACATTTGAAATGGCATATGTCAGGCAGTCTATTAGTGTAACATGATGGTTTCATAGTTAATCTGATATTGCACTATTGCATTTACATATATGTGTCCTGAGTTTTGTCTCAGATAAGTTACCAGAACCAATACACAAGTGACTTGTATGGGACATGAACTAATATAGGAGCTCAACACTACCAGGTGAGTTCAACATTACCTTATGAATATATACAACTCACTCATACAAAACAATCAGCAAGGACCAATACTTACAGCAGGGAGGAGAGACTGCATGTTCTGATTGGAGTCTGCTATCGTCGCCAGGTACACTAAATTTCTGTGCAGCATCTGCTGATACCTGGGCAGGTGAAAAAGTAACCAATGCAGGTGTTAAGTTAATGGGAACTCAACAGAAAATAACTGTGTGGTAAAGCAACAAGAGATTTTTTTTATAACCTACTGTGAACATTCTGCTGTTTTGCCTTTACTCTGGAAGTCCATTATACACTGGATCAGCTGGTTGTTCTCGTCAAGTAACTGCGAAAGTAAATGCAGAGATTTATATCACGTGTTTTTGATATGTGTGATCACACAAAATGTAAAAACAGCGATACTCAATCGTTTGGAAGGGTTTGTGCTTTTCTTTCTGGTTGGTATTTTTCCGAAATTTGAACACAACGAGGAGGATGGGGGGGGGCGTTTTTGTGAAATGTGAGCGTGCGTTTCTAGCTAACAAAAGACACGTCTTGCTAGCTAGCTGTCCTTTGCTAACAAAAACGGCAGGCCTCCATTCAAATGAGCTACAATTATACGTTAGTCCGGTGAATCGACCTAAGATCCACCGACTACACATGGCGCCCTGACTCCACAGAGGTTCATATTCACCGCGCTTTGACCCTGCGAAATTGTTCCTATTCACTGTGCGACTTGGATGGGCACTGCTACATTGATTAGCTCAACGCTTAGCAGCGTCTGATGCCATAGCCTCCATTCTGAGACGCGCTAAAAAGATGAATTACCTTTTGTATTCCGGCGGGTGTTATATCACCCTTCCCACGCTGCCTGTGAGCTGCAAACGCCACCGACATGGTGATACTCTATGAAATGAAAGTGAACTAGAGCATAAAAGTCCAAAGTAGCCAACACACTTAACAAATCGGTAGAACTCAGATCAAACTGTTCAGAATAGGACGCAATTTCGTAATGCGATGGTCCGTTCTGGGGGGGGATACGGCACATTTGAAAACATAAATGATAATTATTATTTATTTCGATTACACAGGGTTACGTGATATTCAAATTGAATGAATGTAAATTATAAAATTCCAAGATATCTAATTAAATAGTTTAAAGAACCCGTATTTTGTCTTCAAGGAATTGCAAAGTCACCTATTTTTCATATAGTGGAACAGTCTGGTCGACTTTAAAAAGGCCACGGGAAATGGACCGCTCAACAAAAAGGGGAACACAGCTTTAATATATTTTGTATGAAATCCAAATAATAATGCAGGGAGTTTCATGCAATGATAACTGATAACAATGTTTATTAATCCTCGTTTTATATGCTTAAGTTTTCCCACATTGCAATCTCATTCACATTGCCAAACCACCACTAAATTAAATTAAGTCACTAAATTAAATGTACTATTTTATATTAAACCTGAGCCTTTTTGGTATTGTAACAAACAAACAAATGAAGTATATAGATTTCGCAGAGCAAATACGCAAATCAAATAGTGAGTCTTCTTTTTTAACCACAACTTTTCTTCTGACTGACCCTAATTTTGGTATCGCCCAGTTCAGAGGTCATGCGCAGGCGCTGTTTTCAACATACGGCAGCTTCCCATACTGAGCGTCTCGTTGCTAACTAGCTGAATCATTTGGTTGAAGTCTCCCCTTTTCTTGTGATTGTACGTGTATTGCAGTGCAATGGCGGCAAGATATGACAGAGCTATTACTGTCTTCTCTCCCGACGGTCATCTCTTTCAAGTGGAGTACGCACAAGAAGCAGTAAAGAAAGGATCCACGGCGGTAAGTCCTATAATGAAACTAATGCTTAAGCTAACGTTAGCAAACGTCAGTTAGCCAACTAGCTAAGCTAGCGCCTAGCAGGAACTCTTTTTACTCATGTATTTTCCTAATTTTGTAAGATCTCCGTACACTCAGGTGTTGAGATTTTTTTACCACTTTGTTTGACTGCTCATCTGTAACTTCCGCATGTAGTACAATAAACATTAAAAGGTATTGAACATGGAAAAAAAGAGTACCACTAGCAAACGTTTTGTCGCTGTGTCACTCTCCTAACAGTTTCAGTTTCAATGTGAAAAGGCCAGCTAGCGCTACTTCATACAAACAATATTTGGTTGTTACATGGTTGTTGGCAAAGTTTAATTTTGCTCCAGCAATTGCTCAAACAATGAAACTATAGTATAGCAGAATGAACTGATTATTGCACGCATTAAGCCACTGTAGTTGTAGGTAGCTTACTTACAGATAACTTCTGTTGTACTAACGTTACATTGGTAGCGTATATAACGTTAGTACTGCTCGTCAACCCCTGCCAGTGCCGATGTCCATAACTTCATTTAGATGTTGTTTTTTTCCTGTGCAGGTGGGAATCAGAGGGAAAGACATTGTTGTCCTTGGCGTTGAGAAGAAATCTGTAGCAAAGTTGCAGGAGGAAAGGACTGTCCGTAAGATATGTGCCCTGGACGAGCATGTCTGCATGGCATTTGCAGGTACAAACAATAAAACTTTATCAATAATTGAATAATAATTCATTATGTAAAATGGCATAAGTAGGCTAAAATCTGTTGTTACAAACTCTAAGTCATTGCAGATATCTATACCATATATTAGGTTTTTTGTCACTTAAGTTTTCTTGTGTTTTTTTTACCTGTATGTTGCGTAGGTACTTAACCATTTTCAATGTTTTTTAGGTTTGACAGCAGATGCCCGCATCGTGATAAACAGAGCTCGTGTTGAGTGCCAGAGCCACAGGCTAACTGTAGAGGACCCAGTCACAGTGGAATACATCACACGTTACATAGCTACACTGAAACAGGTACTTAACCTTCTTACCATATATTTACTGTATGGTACTGTGGGCAAGAACATAAGATTGTGTTTGTTTTTTTTGTTTGTTTTTTTACTATTTTTGTGCTCTAGTTACAGTCACAAAATATTTGTAAGAATGAAAAGTCATATCAGTCTGTATATCTGTCATATTTGTAGCGCTACACTCAAAGCAATGGGCGCCGACCATTTGGCATCTCCGCGTTAATTGTTGGTTTTGACTACGATGGGACTCCCAGGCTGTATCAGACAGACCCATCAGGAACCTACCATGCCTGGAAGGTGAGTGAGTTTTTTTCCTTTTACCTGACTTTGTACCTTGTTAGTATGAAATGTATTTAATATTTTAATGTTGTGTTACTCTTGAACAAAAATAGGCAAATGCAATTGGCCGTAGTGCAAAAACCGTGAGGGAGTTCCTGGAGAAGAATTACACAGATGAAGCCATTGCTGGGGACAACGAGGCAATCAAGTTGGCTATCAAAGCCTTGCTTGAGGTAAGGGCAGATTGAATCTTTGCATTGACCCATTTTAAATTGCACACTTTGTCATAAGCTACATATATTCAAACTGAATAATTACTAAAGTGCTTCACAATAGAATTACCCCATTGCCGTACAAATATTATAAATACATATAAATATAATAATAATATACAATTCTTGTTTTCAGGTGATTATAAACCAATGAAAACATACCTTTTGAATATTATATTCCATTTCTGACAATAGAGCCTCCTAAATGTTACACGCGGGCCCTTTAATGAAACAAATTAAATAAATGCTGCATTTCAGCAGAATGAAATTTTCAGAGGCTGCAGTAGTTCATATATGCTGATATGTATCTGTTTCCTCACAGGTTGTCCAGTCAGGAGGGAAAAATATTGAACTTGCTGTGATCAGACGGAATCAGCCACTGAAGGTGATTTGCTGCAGATTGTGTTTGGCCTTTTTGTGTTCACCTTTTAATTTATTTAAAGGCTAATAATTGTTTTTTTCTTGGCCATTTGCAGATTTTGGAATCCAAGGAAATTGAGACCCTGGTGGCTGAGATTGAGAAGGAAAAGGAGGAAGAGGCAGAGAAGAAGAAGCAGAAAAAATCCACTTGAAGCAGTTAACAAAGTTTTCTTTATTGCACTTGGATGACAATAGCATATTTGGGTTGCAAATATTTGACCATTTTAGAGAGTTTACTTCTCTCATTTATTTCATTATTAAGAGCTAAATCATAACTTGGGATCTGTTGATTTTGTTCAGATGCTTTGAACATGTTTCTGAGTGATACTGTACCATTTGCAAAGAATCTCTAGTTCCTGTACTTACAGCTGTTGACTTGACAGCGGTTTAAAAAGACATGCGTAGATCTCAAGTTAGGGTTTATATCTTAAACTATGCTTACAGGAAGTTTTTATATCATTCACGAAACAGCTCTGATGGTTATGAATCTCAAATGTTGAAATAAACTGTTTGCAACATTCAGAAACATAATGAAACTAAATACTCAATAAAAGCTGACTTGTTTGTAACATGTTTTTATTTTATTTGTAAAACTAGGTTAAAACTGTCTTTCATGCCAAATAGCAGACGTACTATGAATAATGTTTTTAGTAGCGGTGCACTGACTGGTTTCTTAAGAGATGAGAGTGAAGGGACTTAAAAAACAGCAGAGGAGGGTTCCAACCTTTTTCTTTTGTACCCCTCTCTTTATTGATTATCCTACTGCAAAGCAAGTACTGCGATAAAGATAACTACAGTTTAAAACACCACTAGCGGCAGTATAGTGTGTGGCTATAAAGTGCAATGGTTTTCATTTATCAGCATTCTGTCGCACAAACCTGGAAATGAGAAAAAAAGAAGGTATCTCCGATTGCTTTATAAAGTGCTCACCTCTCCCTCAGTCATTTAAAACAAATTAGTGATGAGCGAACGAAGTGTCTAATGGTGGCCCAGCGAGACCCCTTTTTGCCTCTCCTTTTTTATTTCACCCTAAATTCGCTTATCAAGCAACCGCTGCTCTGAATTCTCAACGACACAATTATGGCCGGCGGTGTGGTAGGGCTGCTTAATGGGATCCTGGCCTCAGACCCCAGTGGGAACTTTCAGTGACTTTAATCTGGAGCCCTTTGAAAAGTTGTGCCGTGCTGTGCTGAAGAGCCCCGGGGGTTCCCTCTGACTCTCACCAAAGACATAATGGTGAATGGTAAAGTCCTTCATTTAGAGTCATCTCCCCAAGCCAGGATTTCCTGAGTGGGTGCCCTGGCTGCCTTGACTAGAGCAATTGCACTTTGTCTGCAATTTGTCTTGTTGTGAGTCTTATAGGTTGGTATTTGGGCTCATGTCAGAGGATCAATTAAGCCTCTGATGTTACCTCACATACATAATGTCATTAAATCCTAGGAGGCAATAAAAATGGGTTTGTATGACTCACTCAGCCTTTACATTCATACACTAATTGCCACATACGAATGTATTTCAAGTCAGTTCGAGAAGATGCTGTCACCCACTGGTATGTTGATGCTAGGTTGTAAACAGAGGTGTCCTTTGGATGACAAAACACGCTATAGGTTGACTTTGTTAAAGTTTATTCTGGGTAATCCCATAGCTACAGAGGTTATCTGATCCATCTTGTCAATAGAGTAAGAGCAGTTTATTCGGTGCTGCCGCAAAGACTCCCAAGTCTTTTGAACTGCTTGTGGGAAGAGTTTTCTTTTTCTTTCTTTCTTTCTTTTTTTTTTTTGCCAGCATTGTTGTTGCCCATAATCAGCGCTACTGTGCCCCAGGCCAAAGTCCATCTCTCTCATCGCTGGCTGCTGCTCATCATTAATGCAGAAAATAATGGCTTCACCAGAGGTCATCGACGGAGGAACGAGGCCCGAGGACATGTACTCTCCAAGCAAGAATGCACACTGCTGCAGGCTGTCGACTGAGTGCATTGTTTGTATGCACACACACACACACCCACAGAGCTTACAGGCCAATTGCACATACACACAGCAAACACTGTATTAATGTGAACACACAACAGATTTTTTTTTTTTTTTTTTAAACAGTGCCCACATCTCTTTTCCCTTGATCTGTCATGCACATACAGTACACTTCAGGCAAAATGTGTTCTCATGTTGTAGTTAACATGGAACAAACACTGGGGAAGAAACATTTCATGTGTTCACATCTGCTTTTTAGTATTTGGTTAGTAACACCAATAGTCTTACCCTCACCTAACAATATCCATTACTCCTCTCTCTAGCTGATTTCCAAGTCACAGGCAGATTTCACTTTGAGGACATTTTTGTCATTCTAATGTGCCACCCTGTGGCTATATTTCAAAGTATGCCCCTCCTGGGATGCTTAAAATTTGTCAGTGCAGAATGTCCTTAGGTCCAAATAAGGCAACTGCTTCAAGGGTAAAAGCACACAGACATTTTGCATCCCTGGGGAACTAAGGTTACATTAGTCTTCTGTTAAGACTGTCTCACCACTGTTGCTGAATTACTCAAGGTGTTATCACCTTCTACCAGCAGAGCGCAGTGTTGCATAAAAGCAGCATTACCATCATATCGCTTACACTTTCATCTCACTTTTTGTCCTGCAGATTGACAGTATGACTCCTCCAGCTAACAGCGAGCAGAATCTACGGGCCACTGACATGTTTTTGTCTCTGTGCGTTAACATGCAGCCACAAAAGGCTCTATGAACAATGGAATCCATCGAGGGAGAGTTGTTTTGCTTAAAAATTGTCAGATGAAAAAGCAACATAGCTTTGTGCCCTGAAGCGATGGCCAAGCTGTCAAAGTGTGTTGGGTCATAAAAGGCTATGCTCTCAACACTGTCCCTTTTCTGCTTGTCACATGTCGACAGTTACACACATACACTATTTGCGTATAGAGGATTTGCCCGCCTCCACTTATGCCCTTTAGGGCTCTGAAGCAGTATGAAGAAGTTTGGGCATATTGGTGTGCTGGCTTACATATCCATAAGCGATCAAAATATGTTCTCTTTTAATGTTCTCTTTTAACTTCTAGCTCCAGGGATACATTTTGAATATCATTCTATTATCTCATATCACACATCTCATCTTCTCTGTCCTTAAATCTCTTTCCTCTCTCTCTCTCTCTCTCTCTCTCTCTCTCTCTTTCTCTATCTCTCTCTCCCTCACACACATGCACAACACACCACAAACACATCTTGATTTTCCAACTGTTTTTTTTTAACACACCCTCCACTCTTATCACCATCACACAGAGCAACATATACAGTTGAGTAACAGATACCACCGACAGCTTTGGTTGTTTTTTTTTTTTACCTTTGTGTCCCGTGAAAGGTGCTGGAATACTAACAGTTTGTGTGAAGAGACTAAAGGCATGGTTTTGAGTTACCCCTCAAGAGTCACCTGTCAGGGGATTTTGTCTCACAGAAGAATACAAGTGCATCCTCCTCTAATTGAAAGTAGACACCACTGGGCCTGGAAGAGAGAAACAGAAACAGGGAGAACAGGAGAGACGAAGAAGGAGGCAGCAAAATGAGAGGGAGAGGCAAAAAGGAGCAGACAGAGCTAAAATAAACAATTCCCGGGATGCTGCAGGCCAAAAGCAAATGGCCCCGGGGCTCCGTGGCCTCTCAGGGCCGTGGCAGAAGCCAGTCACACACATCACATAGCATTACTCGGGATGGGGTTACAGGAAAATGTCAGCCGACGCATAAGGAGGAACCATCAGCCCATAGGATAATTCGATTGCCTGAGGGAGGTGCAATCTTGCATTCCCACGATTCCTCTCTTTCCACCCACACCCTCTTTTCATTGTATTTTTGAATCCATTTTTCTTTCTCAGTTATTTCATGTTTTCAATTCTGTTGTTTGCTCTGGTAGCCATGTATATTTACGAATGTACAGTGTTATTCTAAATGGAGGCCACTGGGTTCTTGCAAAGGGTTAGCCACAGTACATTTTATGTGCAGCCTCCTTCTGTGCCCATTGGAATTTTTATGGGCCATTGGTTAGTAACATGGCCTCTGATATCTTGATTTACAACCAGATCTTAGTCAAAAAATCTCTCCCCAACAACCTCATAGTGTTTTGGGTTACCTGTTATATCACATTTCATGGATCAAATCATGTCCCTCCCAGTCTTGCCCTTGCCGAAGATGTGGTCAAGAAGCAATAATTTAGAAATATAAAATCAGTCATATATCTAAAGCAGATGTTTATGGTTTAAAAACTGGTGTGTTACCTTACCTCTATGATACAAATGTTGTTCTACCTTGTTACTGTACGCTACTTGCACAGAATTGTTGCGTGTGCTGGTGCACGAACATGCAGCTGCAAATAGGCGCGTGCATTAGATAAAGACAGAGAGAAAGATGGAGAGAGCAAAAGAAAAAGAGACAGCGAGAGAGTTCAGCGTAGATATCTGAGTGCGTCTGACAGAGAGGACAGCCCTGAAGGCAGGTCCCAGCCCTTCAGCACCGAAAATGACACATGACTGCTTTGACTTTTGTCATCCCCCTGTCTCCCTCCGCCCCCAAACCCAAGCCTCCAACAAACACTGAGGCTAGCATAGATACACACAGTCACACACACACACTCAAAGACACACAGTCACACACTGTATACTGCTTAGATTACATTATCTTTATCCCCGGGACATGAGCCCTCCTTGTTGGATGACATTTGGGCTTGTGCAGCACTAAGGTTACCTTTCTTTGCCCCTAAGTTAAAGATGCCTGTCTGCAGCATGCATTTGAAATGAAGGGCAGGGGAAAAAAATCAGATGAGAAAGATTTCCAAAAGCACTTTGATCAGAGGCATCAACAGTCACGCACAAACTTGTTAAGCAGTATGTAAATTTGGGCTGATACTGAATAAAGTTGCCAGAATGGCATGAATCCATTGTGCTGCGATGATCAAAATAAAAGAGGGCTTCATACGCTGGAGGGCAAGAAAGTCACAGACATGAAGGTTTTTTTCCTTCCTCTTTTTTTCTACAAAGGGGCTGATGGGATGCAGAGAGGAGAGAAGGAGGGGAGGGAAATGAAAGATAGGGGAAAGCCTGGAAGGATCTCAATCTAAATTAGCAGAGTAGAAGGAAGACTGTGCTGAGTGAGACATATAATTAAAACCAAAGTGATGAAAACATCAGTACTCATTCAGTCACTCGCCAGATGAATTTTTGAAATTGCTACCACGATGATCTGAAGATGTTTCAAAGCTAAAGGTAAATCCAGCCTATTGTTAAAACACACCAATCTCCCATCTACTCTTTACCGGGCTTTCTCTCACAATCTCTCCTCATCCGCCTCCTAGCTGCTTCTTTATCCCTCCCTCATTCCCACTTTTTCTCCGTCTGACACCCTGAGATGAATAGACGCTGTCACTGAGACTCTTGTAGCCTGTCAGCTTTTAAACAAACAGTTAGCAAAAGGATCACTTTCACAGGAAACCTCCCAGTCTGAGGTGAGGTTATCAGTGTTAGCTTGTTGTGTCCTGTCCGTACAGGGAACAGGACCCACCCTGTGACTGAAGTAAGGA